TGTCATTTCTCATTAGAATCTTTGTCATGAGAATGGATTCATGTTGTGCCATTTTCTGTTCCTGTTACAATCTTTGTCACATGAATAAGATATCAGGATGTTAATGCCTCGCATACACTCTTCTGTGTGTGATGATACTGTACAACACTACGCTGACCTTTGCAATATTATGTATTCTGATTGGTTGTTCATTTCACCTCTTTCCCACAAGTTAATAAGGCTGTAAAAAGGAAAGAACTGAAATGGCCAGCCAGTCAAATTATAGAATATTGAAAAGGTCAGAGCAGTACAGCACAGAGGAAAAAAAATTATGGAATATATGGTGCATTAAAATTCTTGTGACAATGATTGTAACAAGAATGGGAAAGGATACCCATTTATGTTATTTCAATCTAGAGAACCCCATAGGATGTTATTCCCAAGACGGGAATCATCTATGCATCCCTAAATCATACATGGGAAAATATCTATTTACGCTGCTTTTTTGCTTAAAAAAATAATTATGTAGAAAATATCTCACTATTCAACAAAGAAGAACATTAAAAGTAATATTTTAGCCTTAGAAAACGGGCACGCATGTTGTTAACATTTTAGTAGGACTTCATATGTGAAGCTGAAGGAAAAGTTTGGTACAAGTGAAATCTGTTGAGCATGAGATTTATTTTGGTCATTTCGTCCTGTAACCCTTTTTTCTTCAACATAAAATAGAAAAGGACTGAATGAATTAACCTCTTTGAAAATCCCTTGGAAAGTGGAGTATCCTGAAACAGCATCTTGGAGTTTGTTTAAAATTTTACATGATCTATACAAAATGTGTTTTTCCTTGCGAGGCATGGTGTTGGGCAACATACCAAGAATCTTTCCTTCCCCTCCATCCTCAGTGAAGAGAGAGGGAGAGACAGAAAGAAATACTGAAATCAAAAGTCCTGAAGTTATTGTTCTCAGGTGGGCAATAATGATTACTCATTTTTAAAATTATTTTAATGCATACTTTTAAACTTCTTACAGAACAACTGTACTAGATTTTGTAGCCTATAAAGATAGATCTGATTTAAGAGTTAGCTTTCTCCTCTCCGAAGATGCAGTATTTCACTAATAGAGACAACATTTTATAGCCCAAAGCTAGACTCTAAAGACATCATTAAGAAGGATGCCAAATGTGACCTAATTATGTTTGGAAGCAGAAGAAATTGTTTGATTATTACTTTAAGACCAGCTTGAACATGGGTTAAATAACCCTAAAATCAGTAGTCCTACATGCTTAAGAATCCCCAAGTGATTCAGGGGCCCTATCCTCTGCTGTTCGCATTCAGCAGGTCTGGGGTAGATCTGAGGTACGCGAATGTTTGTGAAATAGCCCCAGGTCATGGATGTAGGTGAACCTACATCCTACAGTGGAACACTGGTGTAGACACCCTCATTCTGCAAAGACTGTAGTACAATTGCCAGTTAAAGCCCAGTTGGTGCAACCACAGCCAAAGAGGGTGGATGAGGGGACCTCTACTTCAAACTCTCAGCACCTGGGGGCAGCATGATGGGGAGTTGTGATTCCAGAACATAGCACTGTAAACGGATCTGCACCATCCACTTATACTCACAAATAGGGTCATCGCTGAGGCCACCCAGACAGGAATGGTCACCTGTGATAGGAAATGCTTATCGTTTTAGCATTTTCTAGCTTGATTTTCGAGCCTGAACCAACAGGGCTGAATTTTCCAGCCCAGTGAAAACAAAGATTATGCAGCAAAAAGTGGTAAAGCACAACCCTTTCAAGAGGAAGGATCAGAAGACTTGGATTTTAAGAATTTCCCTCCAATATCTAGGAGCCCGAATTGGTAAAGCTGGAAGGAAGAAAGAGAGGGCAGGGAGAATGAAGTGGAGGAAGAGCTGACATCGGTGGATCCTGTTTTTGTTTTGAATCTGGAGATTTTTGAGCTTCATGGAGGGTTGAAATCTGTGAATTGCTCTAGGTCTGGGAATTGAGCTGTATGTTAGTGAAGACGAAAGAACATTAGACTCACTCAGCAGTGTCGTTCGAGGAGACGTACAAGTTCTTTTCTGAGCTGAGCAAAATGGTTATGTAATTACATACTTCTCATAATTATTGAGTAATTATATACTTATAATTACTGAGTAATCATTGTTCTATAACTAGAACTTAATGTTACAACTAATTGTATAATTACCATGTATTAATGTTATCTGGGAAACTTAGAATAAAGTGATACTTAATATATTTCCCCTTGCCATGCCATTTGCAACGTTAGCAATAGTGTTTGTTTTACAGTTGGAAAATTGCTCCAAAAACAAACAAAATACAAGGAAAAACCTCACTAATCTCATAATCAGAGATGTTTACTCATTGATCTTATATTTGCACCTGGCTTAAAATTCGTAAACTGTATTCTCTTGGCTTGTTTTTAGAATTTTCATTGTTTCTTGATTTTCAGTCTTTTGTAAGATGAGCGTGGTTTTACTACGTCAGAGGCAATTAAACATCTGCCTGGTCTTGCAGGATAAGCTGACCTTTTTGAAATTTTACAGCTGGGCATGTGACAACAGCAGCAGTTGTCTCAGCTATAACCGAAAATGCTTCTAAGGAGCTAGATGTTATGGGAACTTGAGGCGGTCTTCAGATATGGATAATGTGATTTTTCTTAGACATTATTAGAAAGGATTTGTATTTAATCTTAACCAGTTTCTGGAGTGCAGTAGCTATGCTTACAAATTTGGGGCATGTTGTTATCAACATCTAGCAAAGTCTACTCCCTGCATGCATTTGGAGGTCAATCATCTGTTGAATCAAGTTGACTAGTTGCAAAGAACCTATGAAATCTAGTATAGCATAGTTTGGAAATACTTTGCAACGCATAATGAAATTATCAAAGGGTGCTTTGCAGGTTTCAGAGCTTCTTGCTAAGAGTTTCACATATATAGCTGTGTTGTCTACTTCCATTTTAGGAACTTAAAACCATCCTCAAGCTGTGAATATGTCTTTATCTTGTTTTACCATAAATGAATAGAAATTATTATTCCCACATTTTAGCCCATAGGTACCATTTATTCCCTTTGGAATAAACCACTCTTTAGGATGTGCTAATTTCAGATTCAGAGTAATAAACTCTTGCATGACACTAGGGATTTCTTCTGCTCAAGGAAAACACTTAACTTATACCTGTGTATTTTGCAGCAAAAATTTTTTTCAGCTACATCCCCCATCCCAAAGTTATTATAAGCATCTTCCAAAAAATTTGGTAGATTTTTAAAGTTTTGTCTGTTTCATGCATTTCGTGAAAATGCTCATAGCTAGATATGAGATCTTCTTTTGCATCATTTGATCTTTATTATTTTTAGAGTTTCAAGTATGACCTAATGGGACAATAGCCTAGTGCTAGTGGATGAGATTAGTGTTGTTTTGTTAATTGAAAAACTTTAGAATTTTGATGAATAAGACGTTGTGGAGGAGGGGAAAATGCAATAGGCAGTTGCTACTAAGAAAGTAAAATACAGGGTGGATCATTCTTAATCACTTGCTAGTTCTGAATGTTTGTCCAGAATGTATCAATTGTATGGATTGCAGCAAAAACAGCAACATTCCCGGCTACTGTTGATAAGCACTATTATGTGCTGGGTATTGTAAAGAAATGGCCTCACTTAACCTTCATAGCAACATTGCAATTGAAGTATTATCGTTCCCAGTTCACAGATGAACAAGCTGAAGTTCAGAAATAGTAAGTAACTTACTTAGCAGAGAGCACGCTAGTCAAGAATGACAAGGACAGATTCAAATGCAAAACTCTCCGACAACCAAATTTATGTACTTTCCTTTGCACTATCCTCTGCTCCTCAAGTGTGTAAAAGCGTGTTTTTTTGGTAAATATTGCAACTATTAAATTTTGTTTACTGTACAATGCAAGATCACTTTTCGTAGGTGGGCATCTTTTCCTTTTTTAAACATTTAATCAATAAAGATTATATCAGTTTCTGGAGACCATGCAAATATGCTTTCCCCTGGAAGTCCAACAGCATGTGTGCTTTTTATTTGTTTGCCTATATTTGTAGAATTCGCATGGGGAAGATTAAAGATATATATATAATGAAAAGTGTTTTGGCAAGGGAAGATGGCTATTCGAAGTAAATATTACTATTCTTAATGGTTCTTTTTTCTGTATTTTATTTTGTTTTGTTTTTTGGTGAGGAAGATTGGCCCTGAACTAACATTTGTGCCAATCTTCCTCTATTTTTTGTGTATGTGGGATGCCATCACAGCATGGCTTGAAGAGTGATGTGTAGATCTATGCCTGAGAGTGCGCAAACTTAACCACTGGGCCGGCCCCTCTTTCTTCTGTGTTTTAAGAGTCATTATAATTAAATTTTATTACAATTAAGAAATATTCTGAAAACTTGCCTCCTGTAAACTTTTCAAGAAAGCACCTAACATAGCAAGTGAAGTAAATGTTACAGTAAAATTTTCAGTTGTAGCCCTTTTCTTATTTTAAGTCTAATTTCTGACTCTTCTTAACCTTGAATGCAACCCAGTTGTGTAGGAGAGGGGGTAGAACACTGTAACCAGGCAGCAGTATTTTCCTTTCTCCTAGGCATGCTAAGATTGGAGAATGGTTTTCCGAAGTTCTGGAAGGATGGTGGTGATGGGACCTGGTGATGATACATTGAAGCTGATTCTCTGATACAACCAGGCAGCTTCTGCATTTTCCCACAGAGCTAAAAAATAGATCTTCTGACCAAACTGGAATATCAGCCCAGTTATTTTGATCTCTGTGATGATTAAACAGAGGACAAAATGTTAACTCACAAAATATTGTTCGCGAAATAGTAAAATGAAAGTATGTACATTGATAGTAACACATGTAATGCCTCCCAGGGTGGTCATAGAGTTTTATTTAGTGCTGTGTACTCAGGAACCCAAGAAAATATTCAAATAACAGCAGGAAAGAGTCCTTAAATCTACACTAATTTTAATTATTTCCTTTTTTAATCAGCAGATAATAACTACACTCTTCTGAACGGCACACAAATCATGCATCGAGGTGAAGAGACCAACCTTTGGGTGCTCATCGATGGGCTGGTGCCTTTTACTAACTATACTGTGCAAGTGAATGTTTCAAATAGCCAAGGCAGCTTGATAAGTGATCCCATCGTGATTGCAATGCCACCAGGGGGTAAGTCTATGAAAAATGTTGGCTGTCTAATTTTATGTATATGCCCTAGAACTAAGTCCCCAGTGAACATCTTGTTTATTGTTAGAATTAGATTTTTTTAGAACTGATTCAACTGTATTTCTGGTTGTTTTGGTCATTATTTTGCTTTATTGAGACCCTTTTACTGATATTGTTTTCTTTATTTATTGATATTGCTTTTATCTCACGCTGTGAGTGTATGTATGTATATGGATGCCCCCACACACATCTCTCTTGCTTTATGCATGTTAAGAAGATTGGGGAAGGGCCAGCCAGTGGCATGGTGGTGAAGGTCTCGCACTCGGCTTCAGCGGTCCATGGTTCGCCATTCAGATCCTGGGTGTGGACCTACACACCACGCATCAAGCCATGCTGTGGAGGCATCCCACGTAGAAGAACTAGAAGGATTTACAGCTAGGATAGACAACTACATAGTGGGGCTTTGGGGAGATTTTCTCATATAAGTGGTTCTCATTCCTGGTTTTTTGAAAAAACTAGTTCAGATGTATATCTAAACCTTTCCATTTGGCAAAAAAAAAGGCAGTGTGCAGGTAAAAGAACAGTGTGCAGGTAATACTCACACCAGTGGAGAACACCTTTGAATTTGATTTAATGATTGCGGTTCCATCTTGTCACTTTCATATGTGAAACTGATACAATCTGGATATTTTTAACTATTTCTGTGAAAAAATTTGATGTGATTTATTCAGAATTAGTATTTTGATCTGCAGTCAACTCCAGCCTTGTTTTAACTATTTGTGGGACTAATTACTAGGAAGAAAACTCCTTCATAGATAGATATGTACAGCTCTTGAACAAAAAGTATGCCTCGAAATAATAAGAGCATGATTCCCAACTGAGGGCTCAGGAATGTATGTTTTTTGAAAATACCAAAGAAAAAGGACCCCAGGACACCCAATATCTCTCTTAGAGCCCAGCTTCAGGAGCCAGTGTGTCCTGGACTAAGGGAGAATGCCACTTGTTAAATCTTCTCAAGAGCAATCTGCAGAGCTGGAAAAATCCGCCTCCAGTCGCAAAGAGTGTAAGAACAGCAGAGTCCTCATCACTAGAGGAAAACAAGGTTGATCTGAGTTTGCATGGAACACCTCTCCCAAGGAAAGATGCGTTACCTGCCGTATCATAAAACCACTCACTGGGGGCAGCCTGGTGGCACAGCGATTAACTGTGCACGTTCCACTTTGGCGGCCTGGGGTCAGCCGGTCGGGATCCCGGGTGCAGACATGGCACCTCTTGGCACGCCATGCTGTGGTAGGCGTCCCATGTATAAAGTAGAGGAAGATGGCCATGGATGTTAGCTCAGGGCCAGTCTTCCTCAGCAAAAAGAGAAGGATTGGTGGCAGATGTTAGCTCAGGGCTAATCTTCCTCAAAAAAAAAAAAAATTCACTGTTATCTACTTCTCATGACGTTACAAGAATTAACGAATGGATGTTCACCAAGACCTGCAAAATTTCACACGGCAGAAGTCACATTGTTTAACAAAAGAATGTTTGAAAGAGACTTTGGGGACCGATCAGATCAAATAGTATCATATTTCGTGAACTGATAATAAAAAAGAGAATGGAACTTAGATTGATGCTTAAGAATTAAGACCAAAAACCAAAACAAAGCGAAACAAAAAAAGAAAACTTGGGTGTTCATATCTTCATTTTGCAATCTAATCCAACATGCTGAAAGGTATAGAAAATTGTGATGACTCTATACTTTGGGATATAATACTTTTTATTCATATTCAGATATTTAGGAGTAATTAGTGCTTTAACAGAGATTTTTAAGTTACACAGTAATACCTTCTTAACAGGATACATGGAATATTTAATAAGTTATAATTCGTTTTGTGGTATTCACACTGGTTTAGATAGTTTGGAATTGACAGCAATTTACATCACATTCATAAAATAGGGCTAATTTAATTTGTTGCTCATGAGTTTAGGAATGTATGGGTAATAATTTGTAGTAGATATGTGTGTGTGTCTATATATATAATTCAGTTAAACATAGCAAACCCCTATTGCTATCTCAATGCACATTGTGTGAATATATCTGTCAGTGGGTTAGTGGAAGGGTTAATATTATGCAAACAGGAAGAAACTAAAATATTGTCTTAGCGTGGTCCAGTAGAACTGAAGTCCACTGCTAACGCTTATCTTCATCTCTTCTCTGGACGCCTATCCGTGCCATTAGCATAATGCTCTGCAGGCCCACACTCTCGGCACGATTCAATCATTCACTTTATGTACTCAGAAATCCAGAATTTGGGAGACGGCCCTTCAGCAAAAGAGGAAGCGAAATGCCTTCAATACAGACAGTGATTTACTCAAGTTTATTGCTGCCATTAGGATGTACTTTTTTTCATCATTAGATTGTTGTTGATTACAATTAGGAAACTTATAGCTTTGAAATTATCTTTTTTATGACCTTGTGGCAGTTTAAAGGTGATACCTCATTGATTAAATAGGTTTTAGTTCATGCTTCCTTTTACTTAATGATCTGAAAACATATTATCCTGATTTACACATAAAATCATGCTGAAAAGCATGTGGCATTCACTAGAATATGTGTGTTTAAGTAGAATTAAATTAGTACTGAGAGTTATTAAAGAAATCTTCCATGCCTCTGTCCAGTGAACTGTGTTTCATACTGAAATGAATAATAAATGAACCGATGTACGAAAGCGAGCCAACTTATGGCCAGAGAAGGTTGTATATGCTATTTACTTTTCCATTATATCTAGATTGTTATCATTATTGCTATTTCCTTGATTTCAATATTAGATCTATTTTATGGTGTTGTTGAATTCCTAGTATCTTTCCATGCTGAATTATGCCAGATTGGTAATGATAATACCCTTAGCTATGTTTTCTTCTCAGTGTGGTTTAAAAATATAATAATAGAAGGTTCGGGTGGGCAAAACTGAAATATGAATTATTTGCTTTGTCAAATGTTTGCTATCAAATGTGGCCTGGAAAACCTCCTTTGATCTGGCCAAGTCTTACTCGTTTTTTAGGTTCAACTTAGAAATTGGTCCATCAGAAAGTCATCTTTTACTAACCAAGGATGAGATAGGGCCCTTCGGTATCCCAGAGTGCAATCACATTATATTGAAATTGCCTGTCTGATCTGACTGTCACAATCATGGGTTATAAGACCCTACACAGCAGGGACTCTTTCTTATTCACATTTTTATCTGAGTGCCTAGACCAAACCTGACACATGGTAGGTGCATAATGAATAATTGGTGAGTGAATGAATAAATAAATCAGTCAAGATAGCTTAATTACCAGTTTAAATTGTAAGCTTATCATTGCTCAGGCCTGTTCAGGCCTCATCTTCTCCCTGAGCAACCTTATATTGTAGCCAGCTATGGAAATGTGACCTCCTCTGGACGCTATTGTCCAATGTAGGAATACTGTGGCCATCCAGATGTAGTTGGGGGTCCAGACTGTAAGGAGGACAGGAGTATCGGAGGAAAGAAATATTCTGAAATTGCAGCAACTCTTCGCCCTTTGATATCTTCTCTATTGTGGTTACATTTCCTGGGTAAGCATAGGGAACAGACTTTGGTTTACGTAGGAATTTGGAAAAGAGAGGTAAGGGAACATGGTTCAAAGAATTTTACCCTGGTACCTGGTCTCTTAGTTGATGGTTATGAAACATCTTATTGATATTATCTTTCTCTACTTTACTGATGAGAAAAAATACGATCAATGTGCAGTTTTTGTATACCAATTATACCTCAGTAAAGCCAGGAAAAAATTTTAAAAATGGAAGCCTGACAATGTCTCATTTCAAACCCCAGTTAATTCTATCAGATCTTTCTGTTTCGTTGCTGTTGTAGTTGTTTAATGGAATTAATTTTATTAAAAAAAATAAAACTCTTAGCTTTGACTAACCAAAAAAAGAAAAATATAATTCAGCAATATGATAAACACAAGATATTTTGAAGATGGAAATTATGTCAAATGAGATCATACCCCGATTTGTTCTGCACATAGATGCACAGTGGCAAATCCCAAATGGCACAATTTTTACTTGAAATATTAATTTGAAATAGTATTTGGTCTACTGGAACAGTTGAGTTTTTTTATTTTGTTTTTTCCAATTACGTAGCGTATCTTTACCCACTTCTGTGTACTCAGGTTTCTGTATCTCTACAATTACTATATTTTCAGGTTGTTTGTAATAACACAGTTCTCGTATTTAGCAATAAGATACTCTTAGAAAGGAAGAATATATTTCATCCGAGCTCTTGGATAGCATTGTAGTGCGGGTTCAAGAGTTCTAGGAAAAGAGTTAAAAAAAATAAAAACGGAATCCAAATGTTAATCCATAAATATGAAACTTTCCTATGACCTTTACCCCTTCAAGGTCTGGAGTTACTAATGGGGTTAGGATTTCAACTCTTAATGGGGCTCAGTGCATTAGTGTTTTGTATGCATGGAATTCAGCATTCAGTTTAATAAGTGGTTGACATTGGTAATGTCCCTTAATTTGCTTAAATCTAATTGGCTCTTTTATCAGTCAAACCTGTATGGATTGGCAATTGATCAGAAAGGGTCAGCCATGACTCTGCATGTAGTTAAACGATGGAACCCCCAGTTGAAGTCACAGTTGCATGGTAATAAGCCAAGCAAGAGCAAATGAGCTTAGAGGAGGAAGGCAGAGAAGCTTAGAAGTTTGGCAGGATCTTGAAGTTCAGAACAAAGGCATTATAGAGTATATAAATTTTAAATACACTGCATTTTGCCTCCAGACTTAAACCTTTTTTTCCAGATGAACTGAAATCTTGTCTGAAACTGTCTTTGTTACATCAAAGAACTACTCAGAAAGCTAAAAGAGACAGAAGAAGCATAAAAGGGCATAGTTTAAAATGATTAGTGACAAATTCCATACTGACGAGCTAGAAACAGATTTTTTATGAAAGTTTTCTATTTTTCCAAAAGGAATAATTTTATTCTATTTA